AAAAAAAAAATACCATTTTTTAAAATTTTGTTTTTTTGGGTCCGGTCATGGGGCCTTGAACTCTGGGTCTGGGCGCTGTCCCTCAGCTATTCAGCTCAAGGCTAGTGCTCTACCACTTGAGCCACAGTGACACTTCTAGCTTTTTCCTTTTTGCTTATGTGGTGCTGAGGAATCAAACCCGGGGCCTCAGGCATGCAAGGCAAGCACTCTACCACTGAGCCACCTTCCCAGCCCCCCCAAAAATACCATTTTAAGCTAGGTTCTGGTGTCTCTTGCCTATAATCATAGCTACTCGGGGATCTGAGGATTGAGGTTCAAAACCTGCTTGGGCAGGAAAGTCCATGAGACTCTTATCTTCATTAAACTACCAAAAAAGCTGGAAGCAGAGCTGTGGCTCAAGTGGTAGAGTGTTATCCTTCAACAAAAAACCTCAGAGATAGCATCCAGGCCCTGAGTTCAAGCCCCAGGACCAGCACAGAAAATTAAAATATATTACCATTTTCAAGCTTTGAATCCAGGGCCTCTCACATGCTAGGCAATTGCTTTGCCACTGAATTACCCCTACTCTCCATTTTTAACTTTTAACCTTTTTTTTGTGTGTGTGTGGTACTGGGGTTTGACCTCATACTTGCTAGGCAGGTGCTATTCTACTTGAGGTACTCCACCAACTCCTTTTTGCATTATTTTGAAGATAGGATCTTGCTTTTATGTTGTGCCTGAATTGTAGTCTTCCTATTTGTGCCTTGTTGGGATGTCAGATGCATACCATAGCACCCAGCCATTGGTTAAGATAGAGTCTCTTGGAAATCTTTTTGCTTGAGAACTGAGATCCCCAATCTCTGCCTCCCAAGTAGCTAGGATTACAAGCTTGAGTCACAAGTCTGACATCCATGTTTAAGCTTCCAGCTCAGTGGCATTAAGTATACTCACACTGTTGTGCAATCATCACCATAGCCAAGAATTTTTTTCATCTTATTTAATAATCTTATTGAGAATATACAATGTGCCTTTAAGTTGCTCCAAGTTTAGTAAGAGAAACAGACAGGAATGCCATCATCTCTAACCCAGTGTGAATTATGCCATGAAAGATTGCATAAGATTCTGTGAGCCACAGAAGTTTCAAACTGGTTGCAGGAAGGAGGCTCTTCTTCCCATCTTCATCCCTCCCTTCTTCTCCCCTCAATTTCCTTCCTTCCCCTCCCCTCCTTTTTCTTCACCTTCCCTTCCTTCCTTTTCTTCCTCCTTCCCCTCCTCCTCTTCCTCCTCTTCTTGTTCTTCTTCTTGATTATCATCTTCTTCAGAGCTGGGACAAAAACCAATAAATGGGAGCTTCCTGAAGGAAGCTGTTACTTGGTTGAGGAGAATTTTTAAAATAAGGTCCTTGTTGGGTCACACCTGTAATCCTAATTACTCAGGAGGCTGAGGTCACATTTTAAAGCTAGCCCAGGCAGGAAAGGCCATGAGACTCTTTATCTCCAAATCAACCACCAGAAAACCAGAAGTGGTGCTATTGCTCAAGTGGTAGAGTGCTGTCTTTGAGAAAAATAGCTTAGGGACAGTACCCGGGCCTTAGTTCAATCCCCAGGACTACCCCTTCCTCCCAAAAGAGAATAAAGTCCTTAAACCAGGTATTGGTGGCTCACATCTGTAATCCTAGCTATTAAGGAGGCTGAGATCTGAGGAAAATCATTGGAAGCCAGCCTGGGCAGACAAATTGAGAGATTCTTAACTCCAATTAACCAGAAAAAAAAAACCTTAAAAATGGAGGTATGGTTTAAGTAGTAGAGTGCCAGTTTTGAGTGAAAAAGCCAACCAGGAGCACAAAGGCCCTGAGTTCAAGCCCCAGAACCAGGGGAGAAAAACCAAAAACAAACAATAACAACAACAAAAGCCCATAAGGCCCTTAGAGCAAAGGGCTGAACATGCTGCCCTCCTTAGATGAACTAAGGTGAGATGTCAGGAGAGATATCTTGGGAACCTTGAAATTTACACCAGGCAGAGGTAGAACTAAATGCTCTCTCATGTGGCTGGGAAGGTGGCTCAGTGGTAGAGTGCTTGCCTCCCATGTATGAGGCCCTAGGTTCAATTCCTCAGCACCACATAATCAGAAAAAAAAAGCCGGAAGTGGCGCTGTGGCTCAAGTGGTAGAGCGCTAGCCTTGAGCTGAAGAGCTGAGGGACAGCACCAGGCCCAGAGCTCAGGCCCCATGACCGAAAAAAAAAAA